CAGACAGACAGACACCGAACCAAATTTGATCCTTGATGTCTGAAAAGTAAAATGGGAGTGGAAATTTTCGATTTTGAGCACAAAATCTATTTTAACCTCTCGCACGAACACAATTCTTTCCTTTCTTCGGTAGTGAGGAAGAAAAGATTAAAATTTAAATCAGATTTAAGGCGAATGATTAAATGAAGAATATCGTTAGAAAAATATCTGGATACTCAACACTCAGCTGTACTTCACTTACATTAATAATAATTATTTTTTAATATCTTGATGAGAGTTTTATTTATTTTATTTTTTTGTGAATAACACGGATTCTTAGTTTGAGAATTAAATATAATTATTTCCGATTTATAATTAAAGAATGAATGTCCAACATTAGTATAGAGAGATAGTGGGGTAACTAGACAGTTAGTGGGGTATACTCGTATATAAGCCAGTCTACAATCTAAGTCATCCAACAGTCTGTCATTAGCACCAGGTAGAGAAAGCCAACACTGAAAGGTATCTCCATATAATTATATATATCAACTATTTCATCAATTAATCTCATAATGTGTTTCAATTTCGAATTATTTTAATTTGTTGTAAGAATTTAAACAACCAACATTTCCATCCTAAATCATTGTTTTTTGCATCGTTTTTTCATACTAACTTATCATACACTTAGATTCTGAAAGTTAAAGAAGAGTGAGCTGTTTTGCCATCGAACTTCTGGAATTATTGGAAAGTGGATTCGAAAGTGCTTTTAGATAGTCCATATATTTGATGTATTTTTCGTATGAATTGTGATCGTTGTAAGTTCCGAGTTGTGGTGTTTTTCTACCTTTAATTTCTTTAACGATACTGATCAAGCCAATATTTTCAGTATACATTAAATACAATTCTGGTTAGGTTGAATGTATTTCAATGGGTCTACATCAACATGGGTGAAGAGTGGTGCGCGGTATATCATAAATGCTTTTGTATACTAGCAATTTAAGTCGCAGAAAAAGTTAAAAGATAATAAATTATGTTTATTTGTATTCTGACTGGCCTTGATAATCTATAATATTGTCATAATCTAAAATATGATCAAACTTGTTAAAAACTAATAAATCCAATTTTTTTGCTATGAAAAAAGTAAAATAAATTCCGCTATATCTATGCTACTTATCTTCTCCGACAATCAAGGTAGGAAATGGATAATTATTATTTCTACATAATCATTTCTTAATTATTATATTTGATGTTTAGTTTAAAAATCATACATAATTTATATTTTTTTAACTTTATTTTTTTAACCTACACCGGTTGGGAAGAAGACTATGGATTAATGGATTATGTTGTTAGGCGTGAGGAAAAGGAGTGTTCCGCGGCGTCCCTTCCTTACTTGATTTTATGTTTGTAGTTAATGGAGGAGATCCCACATCAAGCTTCTCTGGAAGGTCCTACAGATGCCATCGGTCGTATTGTTAGTGACCATGCCATGAATCAGTGAGTTGGTATGTCCGTATAAATTATTGTGAAATCTTTTTTTAGTTTGCTCGCTTGTGATCGTTAATAGTTGGTATCTGTAGGTATTTATGTAAAGTAATGTTACTGACGTACTACGGAGCCTTGGTGATAGTTCTGAAATTTTTTGATGGAAAAGTCTGTAGTTTATGTATGTAAGTCTTTTTGGCTATCCCGTATATCGGTGAAGCGTAGGTTCAAATGAGCTTGAGTAAGTAAGTGTATGTATTCAATTTTTGACTAAGTTTTAATTTCGAGCTTCTTGAAAGGAGGGAATATAGCAGTCGTTTAGTTTAGTGTTTTTGTTTTGTTCTTGATATGTGGGTCCGATGTCATTCTTCTATCGAATGCCATTTCACGATATTGAACTTTATCTGTCTGAGGAATTTGGACACTGTCGAAGTAAATAGGTGGACAAGTTCAAGTCGATGAGTAAAAGTAATATGTTGTGATTTGTCTTGGTTGAGTCAAGTTTTCCAGAGATTGCACAAGTCATGAAATTTAATTAGATGATATTGTGGAGTCTGCGTGGTGTATATTGGATAAATCGATCTTTGATGTCTATTGATTCGATTAAAAATAATGATCACTCAATGAGTGATACAGTGCTATACAAATAATATATTAATATGTATGTATATGTTATTAATGTATACATTTTTTAAATATTACATGCATTTCTTAAAAAATATATTTAAAGAGAATATAAAGAGAAAATACATTTTAATGTTATATTTATTGGAGTGCTACCAATAGGTAGTTTCTCCTCATGTTGTACATGTCATATTAATTGTTCATATTTACTTGTTGTATTTATTATTAATTACAGTTGTAAATTTAGTTAATAAAAAAAAATGTAATATTTATATCGCGATCATGAGATTGTTGGCCAATCATCAAAGTGAAGTGACACTTGTACAGTACCGCATTCTGAGTTTGATCAAATTAAAAATAAACATAAGTACAGTATTTGAATATTCATTTTATCTCAAGGGAAGCTGATATTTGAGAAAACCTTTGTGAAAAAAAAATCTGTTTTTTCAAAAAGTAAACAAATAAAAATACTATAAACTTCAAATTAATTTAAATGTAGAGATTAGTTATTAACTGAGATTTAAGAGAAAGAAATTATACAATTCTTACAAGAATAAAATTAATAAGTCAAAAACAAAAAAAAAAAATGTAAACATTACCAAATCTCTTGTCCCAATTTTCTCTCTGCAAATTATAACAATATTGGCTTTAGAAAGAAAGGTTTACATTAACAAAGTGTTTTCCTTTTACAAAAAAAATTTAATAAAAATAATCGAAATTAAGGGAAATATACATTAATCTTTATTATAAATAATATATATTTAAGAAATTTTATTTTATTATTTTTATGTTACAGATGCTGCATATACAATTATTAGTTGCTGTTGTCCTAACCTATTGTACTATTGTATTGGCTACAAAACAGTAAGTACCACAACATGAGTAAGAAAAATTCAATGACGCCCTTAGACATTTCACAAACTAACTTTACTAATATCGACAATAGTGCTAATCACATTTTTTTTCTCTTGTTCCTGACAGAAGAAGAAAAAAATCAAAAACAAGAAACAAAAATTTTAGCACAGAGAAAGAAACCATTAAAATATTTTTGAGGAAAGAGAAGGTCATAAGAAAAAATTTAAACAAAGAAAAAACTATTTTATTATACGCCAAAGTTTAAACCCAAATATGCAGATCTTTATCAGAGCTAGAACGAACACTATACAAAATATATAGGCAATTGTAGGAGTTACAATATATTTAGATAAAATTCAGGAAATCATTAACAGAGTAAATAGAAAATATATAAAAGTATTAAGAACATTAAAACATAAAACTAAGTAACCAGGAACAATAATAAAGTAAATATCCACTTAAACATTTATATTTCCCAAAGTTTGTGAAATGACTAAAAGCAACGTGAAAACATGAGTGTCCATTATTTTAAATTTCGAAATTTACTTAATCTTAGTAGTTATTTCAGTCCATGTAGTTCATTGTGGTCAAAAATAGAAAATGTTCCCCTTCAATATCTCAAAAACGAACCGAAGTCCTCAAAAGACAAATCCTTATACATATCAATACATAGTAACATTTTTGTAATCACTAAATGTTTTGTAAGTTGCATTATAAATACCAGTCATATAATAAACTTATTATACTTGTTATTATATATGTATATGTATATATATTAAGATAATTCAACAAGGAAAACCCTAAATGACAACTTCCTGCATATTTGTTAGTAATCAAGGAAAATGAGAATAGTAGAAAGAAGAAAGTTCAAACCTTTCTAATGACCATATTACATTTTTTTTCCCTTTTACTCATGTCTTAAGTAGAATCTAAATTATAATCTAGATCTCCACTCTGATACTAAATGACATCCTGGAACAAACGAAATCTTAAGTCGATATTAATAAGAACATTCTAAGAAATAGAAAAAAATATTTATTTTAAAAAGCAAACCATTTAAACACCTCTTCTATAAGACTAAAGTTGAAAAATTAAATACATTTGATAAATCATGATGATTTTAAAAATATTTATCTATTCCTTGAAACTAATTTTTTTGAAACTAAAGGATAGGTATCTGGCTCGGGCTAAATCGGCGATATATGGAACATTAAGGTCTTTATGAATGGTTTTATTTGTGACAAAATATTGAGCAATACGAAGACTTTCGTATTGCAAGGATTGGATACGATAAGAATTCGATGGTTTGGTAAAACCCCAAAGCTCAACTCCGTATATCCATATATGTGTTATTATGGTTAAGTAGATGAGTCTTTTGTAATTAATTGGAAGTTTAGAGCGTTTGACTAGTAAGTGTTGGAGCAGTCGGAAACTTCGAGCAGCTTCTTGTCGTTTCAGTCTAGTATGAGGATTTTAAGTGAGACGTTTATCCAAGTGGCGGATTTGTTCAATAGGAACAAGTGGAATATCATTGAAGGATATTGTAGGACAAGAAATTGTGTGTTTACGACGAAGGGTAAAAGTAATTTGATAGGATTTATCAGAATTTATTTTTATTCTCCAATTCCTAATCTTAACCTACAGTTCTACATATCCCCTTCCATTAAACCACTTCTACAAATCCTTTGTCATTCGTGCTATCTCCTTTTGGAGCTCCTTGCCTATCTCCATGCATCAAACCACGTCTACAAATTCCTTCAAACAACAATTATTCCACTAACTACACATTCAAACTTCCACAAGCTCGTAAGTAATTTTAGGCTTGTAATTACAATCACTCATCAACAGTAATTTATAAGAATCTTTATTTTTATTTACCTTTTTCTTAGTATTTCTCTATGTAGTTGTATTTTTTGTTTCTAGTTGTATTTTTCCTGTGTATTTTTGGTATATGTTTGTATTTTTTGTGTATATTTGTATTATATCTAAAACCTAAACCAATTAAATACAAAACAATTGTTCACAGCGTCCACTTTAAAATTCACGTTCCGGTGATTAAGAATGAGGTCCACCACGAAAAGGTCATTTACAAGCACATAAAGAAGTACAATCACAAGGAGTCACATCATGACCATCATCATGGCGACGAAGGCGGACATGGTGGCTTCGAAGGTGGATTCGGTGGATATGGTGGAGATGAAGGTGGATTCGGCGGACACGAGGGGGGATATGGTGGAGATGAAGGTGGATTCGGAGGGCATGAAGGAGGATATGGTGGAGATGAAGGTGGATTCGGAGGGCATGAAGGAGGATATGGTGGAGATGAAGGTGGATTCGAAGGGCACGATGGAGGATATGGTGGTGATGAAGGTGGATTTGGAGGCCACGAAGGTGGAGGTTACGAAGAACACGGAAAACATCATATAGAGTACTCGAACGAAGGTGGCCACGGCTGGAATGAAAAATAGCTTTTCTGAATGAGATTTATGCATCGTTAAATATTTTCTGTGAAAATTGTAAATATATATTGTTATAACATTTTTTAATTATTTTTTTCTTTATAAATAATATCAATTTTATCTAACCTGATATTCCATAAATCCTATAACTTAAACCCTTAAAAATGTTTGCTAACCTATGAGAGAAAACTATTTTTTTTAAATATTTATTTATTACTTATTAATAAGTTACACATATTCCTGTTATACAATAAATTTTCCGTCTACTTCCGTATTCAGCAAATATGGTATCAAGGAGAACAATCATAGTACAATAAAAAATTAATAACAAAACCAAAAAAAAAAAAATATATATATATATATATATATATATATATAAAGAGTAAAATGAAAATAAGACAACATAATAACACAAAAGCAAAAGATAAAACATCAAGTAGCTCAATAGAATATAATCCGTGGTACAGACCCCTTTTCATCAAATTATTACATCAACCTGAAAAAACTATTTTATTTACGAAAAATCATGGAATTGGGGCGTTTCAATCTGGAGAGGGAATGAATTGTCCATTTAATTAGGTACTCAAAACTAGGAAATACACATTGGCTTTCTGCTTGGATCGTAAGATAATTTGACCACAAAATCGATAAAAAAAGGTGTCCTATAAAAATATCGGGCCAGTTGTCCTATATAACTTTGTTATTTTGAAATTTGGGGATGTAGGTCTCGTCAAACGGTTCAATATTTTTGAAGACCACCTTTTTTTTTTCGAGTTTGTGATGAAATTATCTTATGACCCAAGTAGAAAGCAAATGTGTATTTACGAGTTTTTAGTATCTAATTTAATAGATAAAGTTTGCCCTCCCTCCAGATTGAAAGCGCCCTAATCCCAAGAGTTTTCGTAAATAAAATAGTTGTAGGTTACGATGAGATGAAACTATTTACGAAGTTTCAGCCGGATGTTAATAAAAAGGGGTCTGAGGCGGACTAAAAAGACTGCTGAGGCGATGGCCAAGAGATATCTCTTGGCCAGCGCCTCAGCAGTCTTCTGGGCGGATTATATGGTTTTGTGGAAGTAGATAAGAGCTTGAGTATGTGGATTGGAATTTAGAGTCAGTCTGTCATGAAAATTATTAAAGAGGTCTGTGGCAGTTGCCGTGATGAAAGGAGGTTTAAGGTCAGTGTGTAACGTGAGGTTTGAAACATAAAAGGGTGCGTCTACAATTTTCCGAAAGAAATTTTGACTAGAATGACTGGATGATTTGTATATTTAATTTCTTTGCTGTTCCCCATAGTTCGATCCCATATGTCCAAAGTGGTTTAATGAGGACATTGTAAATAGTTAATTTATTAGTCACAGATAATTTAGAACGTCTGTCAAGTAGTCTAGAAAGAAGTCGCTGATTAAGTTCTTTTCTTTTTTGTTTTATGTGGTATGTCCATGTCAGTCGTTTGTCCAAGTGGAGACCCAAATATCGTACAGTTTTTGAAGGTGGTAAAGCGATATTATTAAAGAACACTGGAGGAACAGAGTCATTTCTAAGTGTAAATGAAACAAATTGGCTCTTAGACTCGTTCCATCTTTTGTATTATATTAGACATCTTCCATCTTTTAGCCCAACAAGCTATGTTGTCTAGGTGTTCTTGAAGTACCTGAGAAGCCTTAGCTGCATCCTTGTCAGATGTTAATATTGCCGAGTCATCAGCAAATGTAGTTCTCCAACTAAAGAAAGAGCTTAATCAAAACAATAGTAATTTTATAATATCCGTAAATTAATTATTAAGTTTTTAATTAATTTTATATATATAAAATAATTGTAATTATTATTATTATTTATTACCATAAAATTGGACATAAAAAATTAAATTTGCGATCTGCAAATTTCTATGCAATGAGCAAATTTTTTGGCAGCTTTGGCAGCTTGACAGCGTTCCATTACAATCCAGGAAATAATTCAGTTCAGCAGGTCTCTACTTAATCGTCGAGGTGGGCTGTACGGGTTTCTGGTGCTTTTAAGGTTTTATGTCAGAGGATTTGTGTTGTAAGTTAGTCTTTGGTGAAAGTTGTTGTAGTTTATTTTTGCAGTGTCTGAAATTGTTGTGATGTTCAAGTCTTTATGTAATCTGTCGTTTGCTACATAAAATGGTGCGTCAACTATTCTTCGTAAAATTTTGGATTGACTGGATTTTTTTAATATTAGAAGTTTTAGAAGAACCCCACAGTTCTATGCCATAATTCCAAATTGGTTTTAGTAAAACTTTATAGGGTGTTAGTTATAAAACAAAAAAGAAAATAACTTAATCAGCGATACGGACTTCTTTCTAGGCTACTTGACAGACGTTCAAAATTATCTGTGTCTAATTTTAATTTTTATTTTATATCTGTAAACCATTGTTAAACTATTGAATTGAAAACTCTTCTATCTGGAGCATGCTACGTAATTAATTAATACGTAATCTACAATTTTCCAAAGGACTTTTGACTTAATTATTTTTATATTTGATGTCTTTGCTGTTCCCCATAGCTCGATTCCATGTGTTCAAAGTTGTTTAATACTTTGCACAAGACTTATTAAATATTAATACTTTGTAAAATGGAGAATATAGATATTGTTTTAACATTCTTCATTGATTGTAAAAAAAATTTATAATCCAGTGGTTTTTATCATTTTATTTATCTAATACGTCTTTGGTCAGAAGTAATCTTTATATTTATTTAAACTCATATTGTTCTTAAGAGGACATTGTCTGAATTATCTTAAGATAAATTAAATAATAAAAATTTTAAAATATGACCAACCTAGGACTCCATATGGACAAACGTCTAACTTGGATTCCTCATACCAGACTGAAACGAGAAGAAACAGCTCGACTACTTCAACACTTACTAGACAAACGCTCAAACCTTCCAATTAACTATAAAAGACTCATTTACATGACTATAATAAGGCCTATTTGGACTTACAGAGTTGAGCTATGGGGCTCCACCAAATTTTCAAATTCCTCTCGCATCCAATCCTTACAATCCAAAATCCTTCGTAAAATCCTCAACGCTCCTTACTTTGTCACAAATAAAATCATCCATAAAGACCTTAATGTTCCATATGTTTCCGATCTGGCCCAATCCAGATATCTTTCCTTCCATAACAAACTGCAGAATCATCCGAATCCTCTCGTTTCAAACCTTGCTTCCTCCTCGATCCCTGATAACCCTCCGAGGCGTCTGAAAAGAAGATGGCCTCGGGATCTTCTATTATAGACATATTATTAGAGTACTACCAATGGGTAGTTTCTCAACATGTGTTTCATGGCATTATATCCATGTGCGAATTTACCAGATGTATTTTTTGCATACAGTTGTAAATATCATATAAATAAATAAATAAAAAATATGACCATCGCATTTTCTCTTTCAATCTCTACATCGTTCTGCTGCTATATTATATTCCTCTCCTCACATCACACCTCTCCAGGTCTGATACTTGGTTGACCTGTACTTTATCGTGTCCGCTCAGAACTCTTTTTTCTCTTATCAGTTACCAGTCTACTGCCTATCCTCTCATGGACTGATCCAAATACCATATGATATCCAAACTCTCAATTCAACATAGAGCCATTTCTTTCCAGAACCTAGTTCCCTTACTCGTACACCAGCACCCTAGAAGTGTAATCAAATCATGAATCTTCAGATGAATGATGATGCTGCTCGTAGAAGCTTTGGATGCACTAGACTTAGATATGACTACCAGGTATTTAGGGCGCTTCCGAACCTGCCACAAACAAGGATGTGACGTGTCAAATCCATCTATTTCCACGAATCCCTCTCATCAACTCCTGATTCCTAATAATAATATCTACACCTCCTGAAACTTTCTCTCTGTGAACAGTTCAGAACTTCTCCTTTAGTGGTCTTTCCAGTCTCATCTGATGATTTAAATTTACATTTTACATCTGCCTTCTATTCCAGTTTTTTTAGCTTTAATTTTTTATTCACACCTGTCATAATGGTAATGACAACGAGTGAATGTGAGATCGATTGCAAAATATAATGTCATGAAAGGCATGAGGAGGATCAGTTCCCAGCGGCACCTCCCTCGGCGTGATATCTACATTAGGCGAGGAGGTCCCTCATCCAGCTCCTCTTCAGTCTCCTATAGACGTTACCTGGCATATTCGTAGTGGTCATGTCATTTATAAGTGTATTAGGATGTCCTTGTAAGTTGTTATGGAATCGTTTGTGTTCGTATGTGTTCGTTAACAGTCGGTATATGGAGGTCAGTATATAAAGTTATATTGCTAACGTACCAAGGTGCTTTTGTAATTGTTCTGAATGTTTTTGCTTGAAAGATTTGAAGTTTGTTTAAGTGAGTCTTTTTAGCAGTTCCAAATATCTGTGATGCGTAAGTCCAAATAGGTTTTAGTAAGTAATTGTACGTGTTCAATTTCTGTCTAAGTTTTAGTTTTGAATTTTTCGAAGTCGTAAGTGTCATGGCCGAAACTGAGGTTCTATATTCGTATCGTTCCGTCTTTGCTAGTTTGTTATGTGCTTATTATCTCAAATCCTGTTCTCAGACTTTGTAAACAGTGAGTTTATAAACAATTTAACATGTTTACATTATAATCAGTGAGGTGAGTGACTTTTATTAATAATTAGCAACATTAAATTGGTACTCGATTGCTAGAGACAGTTTACGTGGCAGATAATTCCCCTCAGCGGGTCTTATCTTTCAAATTCAAGGTCACGGCGCTTTATTTTACGTTCAGAATATCTTGAGTTCGTACCTAAGACAGTATATATATTTTTTTTTTTATCTGTTTTTATTTCTTAATTGATTATTTTATTTTAATATTTTTTTTCTACTGAGACTCTATTTTATTTATTTATAAAAATGTTTTTTTTAATATTTGTATATATATTTGTAAATAGATTAGTTATTAAGTATTTGTTTTGTAAATTTTCTTATTAGTGATACTTTTTTTTTTTTCTCTCTCTTCTTTTTGTATATAT